GGGACACCATCAAAACATGACCGGGACACCATCACAACATGACCGGGACACCATCAAAACATGACCCGGACACCATCACAACATGACCGGGACACTATCACAACATGACCGGGACACCATCCGCCCACCAGCTCTGACGGTGACCCGACGGCGCCCGTCCGCCTATTAGTTTTGCAAGACCCCATAGCATGGCTATTGGGGAAAAATATTGAACGGGGATCAAAAGAACATAAAAAGGGAATCAAAAAAATCTAGCCCCACAGACAGGGGCGCGGCCAAGACAAGGGCAAGAGGAGGACAATCTGCAAATGCGATGGGCGACCCTTTACATTGTTAGTTTTCGTGGCAGGCGCAGTGCAAGAGTGCAGATTTTGTGGTGCTGGAGGGGGGTTGGGGAGGAGGGCGCAGCGCCTCCCCCCAAAAGCCAACCAAACGTTAAAACACAGCACCACAAAAGAAATCACTAGAAACTGTCTAGTCAAGAACTATGTACCCTATCGCCCTTTCAGTGAAGGTCATCTAAAAGCGCACAAAAGGACCTAAGGCAACCGAAGCCAAAAGCATTGTACGTTTGCAGGAAATTTGCGGCCAATAAGCTACAAGAGAAAGGACCAAACACGCAGACCAGAGGACCAGGAGGGCAAAGGACCAGGAGACCACGGGACCGGACCAGGACCAAAGGACCAGGGGGCCAAAGGGCCTGTGGACCAGAGGACCAAGGGACCAAAGGACCAGTGGACCAGCGGACCAAAGGACCAGAGGACCTGCAGACCACAGGGCCAGGAGAGCAGCAGAAAAGGCCTATCAAGGAATATTTTTGTTGATCCGTTATTTTTTTGTTTATCATCTTTATATGTGTTTAATGCTCGTTTTATTGTTTTGTTGATCTAGATGCCTCTGGAAACCTTCGGTGCCGCTTGACTGTGCTGTATAAATTTGTCAGTGCAACCAACTGCATGACCCAGGGCCCAAACGTTCCCTCAACTTGCTGTGTGCACGCACCAAACCAGCTAGTTGAATGAAATATTTCAGGGCCACTCCTGTGTCTCTGCAGTAGTTGCCCGTCGCACCTGTGCTTGGCCGACCAGGATGTAATGCTTGAACTCGACTCAACCAACTTATATATATATATATACTCATGTGCTGACTGACCTTGCTGATAGATTCACACGGACTTACACATTGAACCATCCAATTCTGAAGTCAAGGAGTTGCTGGAATCCTCCGTTCCGACCCCAATCTTGAGCTAAGGATGCTGAAAGGACCAAATTCTCCCATGTTTTCCACAAGTGTTGGTGTAGTGAACCATGGGTGAACCTCAAGACTCATCACCACTGAGATCTGATTTAGAGTGTCTTTGTAAACCACTTCAAGAGCCTCGGCGTAGCAGCGCGTCGCCAGTAAAAGCAGCGCGATCACCAACGTGGTCACCAGCGTCAGCTGCCAACAGCACCGTAGCATGGCCAAGTAGCCTGAGCACGGTGAGAGCACCGGTCAAATAGCCTGGGAACTGGCCTTCACCAGCTCAACTGAAAGCTCGTCGACTGTATCTAAAGAAAGCCAAGTATTTCACACAGTCTTTGTTGGCGACTCACCTCAACTCGATTGATTCGTCATCAGTGCTTTTCCTGGTCTGCAAAAGACAGTTCCATGTTCTCCAGTTCACTCTCAACGATGTACCAAGTAGAACCTCGGGCCCGGATCAATAGAGCCTTCCCAAACCGGCACGGTGGCTGAACATCTAACATCATCTATCATCCAACACTACAGTGTACATCCCCCCGCCATGTGCATACCCTGCGCATCATCTGGTGAAGTCCCCGACATCTCCAAGGAGCCAAAGAGGGTCACGGCTCCCGAGCGCAGTAGGAAGTTCAGCACGTCGTCCAGGCTGGCGAAGACCTGCGACAGACTTTTGGATCGAATATTGGAGTATTTTGGAAATATGTAGAAAACAATTTGAAAAAATGGAACAAGAAGGACGCTATTTATCCAGATTCAATTCTGTCCGGATGTTCAAGCGAACTGGAGTGACCCAAACCGCCTTCGCTGGGATCCATGTGTGGGCTTGGGAGCTACATGGCTTGGGGGATAGATCAAGAACGACATCTTTCTTCTGGATCTTTGATTCCAGATTCATCACCTCGTGCTTGGGAGGGTAGAGTTGTCTCACAAACTGCCATGGAAGACCTTACTTCTGGTCCCAAAACTCTTCTCGCAGGTGAACTCCTACAATAGGCACCCATACACCAACTCCGCACAAGAGTCACCCTTGCATCTTTCACTCTTCAGCGACTGAAGGCAGGTGTATTTTGTCCGCAGGATGCCTTCGGCAACTTTTTGCCTGCAAATAGATCGGAGCTAACTCTGGGGTCCAGGTGGACAGGAACGACAGAAAAACACCAACGATGTTGTGTGTGTGGACAGAAATGATCATTTCGGCTCAAACTTCCACAAGTGCATGGTTGCAAGCCGTCACTTTGCTGGAACCCGTGGAAAAAAGACTGGTGCTTTGGAGCATGGAAGTTGCCAGTGAACATCTAATCTAGTGTCAGCTCATCCTCTGGATGGAAAAGCCTCCAGGACTTCTCCATTAGTTTTTCTTCCCCAAGAGAGTGAGCTTAGGTGCTGCTGGCTGCGAACCAATCGAGGGGGCTTTTACGCTCCATCCTATTTGTATCCCAACTTGCTGCCAAGTGAACCCCTCTCTGGAAGAGCCCAGCAACATCTCGAGCAATGTTCGCATTCATGGCGGTTGTATTCTACAACTCCACGGAAACCACCCCAGACTTGAGGTTGGATACCCTCTCTCTTAATCAAAATTTTGGGCCTTTCAGGTCCAAGATTCTGTCGGCTCGTAGTCTGTGCAGAAAGCTGTGAGCAGCCGCTGGTCGAGTTTCGAAGGAAAAGAGATGACAAACGTGCAAAGCATGACGATCCAAAATGACGAGAGCATACTTGGAAAGAAATGTGGGTGCTGGCAGAATCCAGTAGATGAGCAGACCCCTCGTGTCTTCCCCAAATCAAATCTGCAATGAATTGCAGGTCTTCCAAGATAGCCCAAGGATCTTTCGGCCAGCTAAGGTCACAGCTCTGGACATAGTTTGCAGTGATGGAGTTTGGCATTTGCCAGTCCCACTGCCCCTTATCATGCTTTGGGCATCAAAGCATCGAAACCACCCCTCAAATGTCTGCGTCACCACCTTTTTCTGCAGTAGCAAACATTGCCGAGGCAAGGTGCTTCAGAATCTGGCTATGATACCAGGTGAAAAGTAGACAAATCCTCAACAAATCGTCGGCATAGCATGACCTCAACAAATCCTCAAAACATCTCTTGGATCGTGTTAGTCAAGGCAACTGATCAAAACCTTGGAGCCAAACTCCGTGTAGCCTTGACTGCCTCAATTAGCTAATTGTGCATAAAGGTTCGAAAAGCTCGCAAAGCACGACTTCTTCAGTGCACTTGCATTGCGAAATCGCCAAATGGTTCATGAACTTGGCCTTTCGCCAATCTTTTTCTGGATCGCCTCCAACCAAACATCCTTCCATGGAGCATTCCGTCACATTGACCACGAGCTCGTATGTGCCATAGTCACACCAGTCGATTCTCAGTGTCTTGCCCTCCAATGACCAGTGGGCATGGGCTGGAAAGAACTCACACTTAAAGCGGTTGCGACCATCTGCCTCTCGTCTCGCTCACTTCAAACGTCATCAGACCAACGGGCCACACCCAAAACGTGTAACATGGTTGACCAGCATCTACAGTACCGCAGCGAAGATCATACCCCCCAAAGCCAAAAAGACAGTGTGTCTATATTTATATAGAATGTATTCTCGATTCAATACATCTGGACACAGGTGACATTGTATGGGTGGCCGAACATGCTACGAGCAGCGCGTCGGTCACGGACGGAGCCCGCTATTTTGGGCGCTCCTTGAACTTCACCGGGAACTTGCCCCGCTGCCACACGAAGACCCACTCGGAGCCTCCTCCATGGCCCAAAAGCAACTGCTCCTCAGGGCTCAAAGGGCCCATCCAGGTGGCACTCCGCCAGGAGTGATCCTCGTCATCGGACACCGTGGTGAAAGGAGCGGAGGTTCCACAGAGGGTCTGTTTCCGGAGAGGTCGGTTACTCGGTTTGGTGACCAATTGCGATTCTTTGGTTCCCCTTGAAAGCTGGACTTCGCCCGACCCCCGTCAGATGGAGAAGTGACTGGGCCATGCCAAGCTTCTGGGCTGTTCGAACGACCGCTCATTGACTTGCTCTTTGCCTCGAACTTGAGCTCGAACTTTCCTCAGAAAACAAAGTTCGAGACGACCAGGAGGGCGGATGGGACAGGGAAGTGGAAGTTGTTGTTGGGCCAAAGGGCTTGTGGACAATGATGTTGTGCATGTCCATCGCTGTTGATGGACCGTGATTCGTACCACTCGCTCTAGAATTATTTGTCCACGGCATTGGAGACCCTTTGAACTTGTGCTAGGCTTTACGAAGGTTCACCACACAAGCCCCAAAGGCGGAAAACCGCCACAAAATATGGAACTGGAAAATATCAAAATATAAGGAAGCAGCTCCAAGGTTCCAAATCTCTTCCAGTCAATTTTCACTACAGATCCATCCAGGTTCCAGGTGGCACCCTGCGGGAACTTGGGGCAGTAGAAGGCCCCCCCAGGCCGGAAGCACACAGGGAAACTGCCTTCAGCCCAGCTGAAGTCATACCAGCCTCGTTGGTGCGGTGAGTTGAATCCAAAGCTTAAACTGCTCAAGTCAGATCCATCAGTCCTTTCATTCATGCCTGGTGGGGAAACATGTTTCTTTGGTTCCTGGAGCATCAGTCGCCCACCCAAAGAAGGGGGAAAACATCCTTGATCGCTCCCTGTAAGTCAACATGATGATACTCATCCTCTTGAGCTTCCTTATACAAAAGAGGGGTCATCAAAAGTTCGTAATTTCAGCAGGTCAGAGTTGCCAACCACATCTTCTGCGTGAACTTTGTGCGCCATCTGAGCCAAAACATGCTGGAGGAAGAAAAACGCATCCGCGGCTTGGTCTAGATACTCTCGCTCATCCGCTGTCAGAAGGTCACCGCTGTTGCAAATGTCTAGCTTTTTGTGCTGTCCAGAATCCAGAAGAAGCCTTTTTGGTCAGGTTTCCAGAAGGGAGTTGAGGAAATCTCTCAAGTCAGTCGGAATACAGCCCCAAGGCGGCTTCTCCTTCCCGAACTGGCCTTGGCCCATTTCAGGTCTCTCTAGCTGAGCGATCGGATTTGGGGGACGGCCACGGTCTGGAGCACTCACACACATCCCTTGTTGCATAAAGTGTAATATGTTATAAGTAAAGCTTGTAACGCCACCCTTCCTCAAGCAAACATGCCAGCAACCTTTACGGGATTCTGGAGATGGCTTGGTTCAAAAATTCTGGCACCAGCAACCTCTCTTTGTACTTCTTTGAGCAGAGATCCGTCAGGGTCTCGGTCTCCCCCCCCACTCCCACCGCGCCAGTTGGCAGTCCGAAGTGAGACGCGAGCTCAGCTCAGCTGCATCAACCTACCAAGGCGCCGATGGATGACTCACGAACCGGATGTTCACCCCAGGTTGCATCGTTGGTGTGGTCAGCTGAAGAATTACACCAGACTTGGCCCCGTTTTGTTGGCAACTTGGTAATTTCGAGGATCTCGTTGGCCGCATCATCTCTTTGATCCCGACGTTCTGGTGTGTTTGATTTGAGTCCATTTTGTGTGCTCATGTGCGCTCATATAACGCTTCCACGTTGGTCCCGGACAGCCTCACGAGCAAACAACAGGACACGAAGGCTGGGTAGCAGGACCTTCAATGAGCTATTTGGCAGCTGTGGACCATCAACAAACCTTCCAGGTGGACTATCTTACAGCCAAAAGCACCTGGTTGGAAGGTCCTGCTGTTACAAAGCTCTGAGAAAGATAAAAAATAGCCGCTGGCTTCTGTGGTTTACCGGGGCTGAGAGCATCTCAGACCTCTTCGGTGGACCACAACGGGAGTCCACCTCGCCTTGTCATAGAAGGTCATGTCCTTGGACCTCACGATTCGGTCGAGAAAGCTTCACCACTGGTGTCCACTAGTAAGGCCAGGAGCCCCTAGTAGATGATGTCTTCATGTCGCGCCCTTGGTACGTAGCAGATCACTCAAAGCACTGGCTTTGTGTGCGGCAAGAACCCCAAACAAGACTCCAGGTTTTATTTAAGTGTCTGTTCACAAAAAGTCCATCACACCACACAAATGCCTCCCAAAGTGGGCAGGAGTGGTGTCTCGAATTTCAGCCTTTTCAGTTCGCAAAGTTGTGTATTCCGTATATTCCGTAGTTAGGCCACAAGCCAGACCAGCCCAAACCAGTCTCCACCCCACAAAAAAACTCTTGGCCAAGGGGCATGTAGCACTGGAAGGCCCTTTGTCGCAAGGCTCCCACGAAGCCCAAGCGCGTCATGTGGAACGCGTAGCCCCGAAGACCCTGGCACAAGGCCACCCCGGCTGCCTTGGTCGGAAGCAAAAGGGGACCGCGCTGGGAGACCTCTCAGATCAGCTTCCTCGAGGTCCCCCGAAACAATTCTGGCCCTTCTTTCGCTGCGAAGGAGTGAAAAGGCCTTCCCAGCCAGGGTGGTCAGAAAGGCTGGGCGAAAACCCATCTGGCAGCAGCTGAATGCAGTGCTGAGGGTCAAAATGTCTGGAGAAACTCCTTGGACCTCCATGGAGTGAAAGATCTCCAGTGCTGCCTGCCACTGTGAGCCCCTCTCACAGGAGCAGATTAGGGCGTTGCAAGTGAGGAGGTTGGGAAGAAGCTGTTCCTTCTTCATCCGCTGAAGAAACTCCAGTGCCAGTTGCCATTGCCCGTTCTCACAGGACTTCAGCATTGCACTGTAGCTGATGACATTGTGCGACCCACGACTTCGCACGAAGAAGTTCAAGGCCTCCCACCATCTTTGGCCACATGAACTGATCGCAGCATTGTAGGTGATCATGTTTGCAACTGATCCGTTCACCTCCATGGTATCCAGAAAGTCGAACACCCGGTGCCACTGTTGTCCTTTCTCCAACGAGCTCATGACCGCGTTGAAGCTGACTGCACTCGCACGGAGTCCGCACGAGCTCAGTCGCGGTCGAAGCGCTTCCAGGAGCTGTGCAGCACGCGGCCACTGGGCAGACTTCTCGAAGCTGCTGATCAGAGCCTCACCGGCAGTTCGGGTCGAAGAAAGATGGGGGGATGGACCCGGGGATGGACATGCTTTCCATCATCTTGCAAAAAGCACCCTGAGTCAGCTCGAATTTAGCACTCCGAAATGATGCCTAAAGACTCCATCCAAAGACTCATCTGGATTCCCAGAACCACTTTGAAGTAAAATCCTGGTCCAGGGTGTTCATTTCATGTGGGGTGTACTGGTGTTCTCTAACTTGGAGGCTCAAATGGCTGTCAGCTGTGGGAAAACGAATGACTTGATGGCTATGTCAGTGTCATTTCTAAAAGTGCTGGAAAATGTGCTGGCACAAGGTAGAGGGCATTGTAGCTCACAACATTCTGCGTGATGCGGTTTGTCAACATCCTGACAAAGAGATCGCTCGCTAGCTGCCACTGTAATGCCTTTTCACAAGAGCTGATCAAAGCATTGTATGTGATTGTGTTGGGCTTCGTCTTTTCTGTGGCCATGGTTATGAAGAAGTGAAGGGCTAATTGCCATTTGAAGCACTTCTCACATGAACTGATCAGGGCACTGTAGCTCACAACATCTGGCGTAAGACGTTCAGCACAAATCTGGTGGAAGGTCTCCAAAGCAGCTTGCCATCTGGAACCCTTTTCCAAGGAGCTGATCAAAGCACTGTAGCAAATGACATTGGGTCGCAAGGTAACCTCCGTAATCATATCGAAAAAATAAACTGACCATTGCCATTGCGAGCATCGCTCACATGAGCTGATCGTAGAACTGCAGCAGATCACATCAGGCTGACCCAGTTGAGCTGCCATCTCGTCAAAGATCTGTAGAGCCACTGGCCATTGCAATCCCCTGCCTGCAGCAGAAATCGCAGAACTGTAGCTGATGACATTTGGAAAGGGTGGCCCTGACAACATCCTCATCGCGCTCAAGAAGTGTACCGCCACTTGCCACTTGGAAGCCTTGGAAGAGGCACTGATGGCCGAATTGTAGCTGATGGTGTCCGGCAAAAGGGTCCTGATCTGCATCTGAGCGAAGAACTCTAAGGCCGACTGCCATTGAGAGTCCTTCTCGCATGCCGACATTGCGGCATTGTAGCTGATGACTTTCGGAGGCATTCTGGGATGCGAAGGCATTGGCCGAAAGTCATCAGAATGGCATGGCCTTTTGAGTGACTTGGTCGATCCGCAGAGGAAGACCTTCTTCAGAGGACAAAAAGAGCCACGGGCGAAGACCTTCTTCAGGTTTCAGAAACTGGGCGATACCGTGGCATGATAGTTGGGTGTTGTTCATAATGAAAGCAGGAATCCCTGGTGGAGCAGGTCATCTGATTGGGATGAACCAATCATGACAATGTTTGTCCCCACAGCTCTTTTCATTGAACTTCCGGTGCATAAACCAGCCATGCTTTCTGAAATGATGATCTCAGTTGCAACAGAACAGGATTAATATCTGAGCCGGTGTTAGCTGTATATCAGTAGCTCAAAAAAATAACAATAGATTGTTTATGATATTTGTTCTTTGTAAAGAAATCACTATTATGACCTTCCAGATCTGACAATAGGTTCAGAAGTGCTGACGCAGGTTGAGAATCTCCTTTCAGAGAAAGCAGATGACTGCTACTTAGATACTTGGTGCTCTGACAGGACCTATAACCATGTGGGACCTCCAGTCCTCAATTGTATGGCTTCTTGCTAGCTATCTTAGTCAACAAGAGCCAAGGAGGATCCACCTACACCACCGAGTCCATCCATCGCGTTTCGTTGAGATCCCGTGCGACTAAGGCCAGGAGATGCACCTGCAAGGGTGGTGCCAAAAAGATGGAAGAGCATCTTTTTGGCATCGTTGCCGGCACAGTGAAAAAGTATAAGTTTTAATTTTTGCCAGCACCTACAGTATATATTATAAAATATATATATATAATTCAACAGAATCATGCAATATGCAAGTTCTCCAACACCACAACCATGCTGCGCCTGGGCCACTTTCGTCCCCTTCTCAGCGGCCATGAGAGCGCGTGAGAGTAGCGGAGGCGCCAGAAGCTGCAGCGATGATGCGCCCAGCAAAGCACAAACACCCGCCAGGAGCCTCCGGTGGTGATGGTGCAACCAGTGCCACCGAGTTCAAAAACATGAGCTACAACTGCGAGATTCCAAAAAGCTGTGCTTGTAAGTACAAACCCCTGCAGAAGGGAAACTAGACCTGTTCATTGGTTGGAGGTCTCTCCGCTTTACATTTGCACACCCATGTCGATCTATCCATGTCCTTCTCACCCCATCCTCACAATGCAAAATTCCGACCCACGCGCCAGCACCGCTCTCTCAGTGGCAAGATCTGCCAGATTTGCTGCATCGGTCTTGCCTTCCGGCTCTGCCTGTCAACGATGTTGTGAGCAATGAACAAGTCATCTGGTGGAGAAGCTCGGAGTCCTTTGAAGGTGTTCGGAGTATATAGATTAATGTAGTCTGTCAAACTTTTCGGATAAGTATGGACTGCGGAGTTGTGGCGACTTGAGATAGACAAATTGTGTTCTTTAAAGTGTCTATCGTGCATGCCTGGAAATACCAAACCAGTGGGTTCCATCTGTCCTTAATCTTTGGGGCTCCGCATGACACAGCAACATCTGAACTTCCCAAGGTTCACAGTAGAAAGGCAACGTGAAGCTGGCACCTCAGATGTCGTGAAGCTGGCGCAGAACGCAACAGCTGTCCTCAGCCGGTACCCATTCGTCACAGCACTCAGCCGGATCCAAAGCCAGGTGACATGTTGGAAAAACGAGCGGTCCAGGATTGCAACGTAGTGGTGTCATAGTGAATGTCTTCTCCGCATCCGTTGCTTCCTTTGGCCTTCTGTTGTCATCCAAAGCCCCAACCTGTCTTAGACACTTAGAACAGTAGAACTCAGGTCACCAACTTCTGGGGTCCACTTATAGTTCCGGACTGGAACTTAGAATGCGTCTTGGTTTCCAAAATTATTGGCGAGGAAGTTGGAATGTGCCTGTAATTTGGCCCGGATTTTCACTTAGAATGTCATGCAGTCCTGCTCCCACGTGTAGTCAACAAATATGTGGCAGCAACTCAAAAGTGCGTCTACCGTATATACCTACAGCGGCCGCAGCTCATCGGACCAACCCACTGGGTGAAAGTCTCCCGACACAAACGGTCAAATGCCTTTTCTTGGAACCGTCCTAAACCGTCCTAAGTTCCCAATGCATCGAAAAGCCTCAGAGAAGAAGACTCAACCGACCGACTGCGAGAAGTGGTCAAAAGGTCGACTCGATCCTCCGAAACCTCCCGACCACTTCCGGTGTTCTCCGAAGAGTCCAAGGGATTCGGATCCCGACCATGGGGGCCCCCACCTGGTCGTGATCGGACCACTCCTGCTCCGCCTGCAACCCAAACAGGTGGTGAATACTGACTAGACTATGAAAGAGATGGTTTTGTTCATGTATAGATTCATCTTTGGATATGTTGGGTCTCTGGAACTCCTGGAGTAGCAACAAAAGTCATTATTTTTGCGCTGAGTTGATCTGATGACTGCGTAAATATGCAGAAAGGTTCTGCATCATACTTCAATATACTTCATACATCTTCATACAGTCAACAGTTAATCGACAAAATCTACCCAAATTTGGCAGTCTCTCTACGCACGTACGTTCCCCACTGCGATCCATGATTTAGGGCAGGAGCTCTTGCATGCTGAAGACAAAACCAAACTCCGATGTTCAAGAGAAGCGGCAGCATCTGTTTTTGCGGATGCCTTCTTTGGAGCATGACGCTCTTCATCATGATCAGCTTTGTGTCAAACCCAAGTTTCCCTACACAGAAACACAGCATCGAACCAAGCCCAATGACTTTCCACACATTCCCCGCCCAAGCAATGAGACCTGATCCAAAAACACGCCCATGGGCCTATGGGACACATCAAAACTTCATGACTTTGCAGATCAGCGGAACTTTGATGGAAACATTTGCTCCGTGGGACGCTCGCCCTCCACTCCACCAGTCTTCCGTGGTGACGATGTGGAGGAAAAAGTGACTGTGAGCCCATCTACCAGCCCCTTAGTCTTTATGTATGTGTTTCACCCCCTCGCTCGGGGCATCAAGAATCTTTGTTGAATCGCAAAATGACCATGGCAACCTTCAGTTGTGACAGTGGACGAGCGTGTCCGTGTGGTATACCACACAGTGGATGAGCAAACCAGCAGCAGAACCGCAGCACCAGCGAACGGGCACGTTCCGGACGTTCCGTCGCTGGGTCGGTCGCCTGCGAAGAGCAGCGGCCCAGCGCGCGGCGCCCGCCAGGCAACCAGCACCAGCAGAGTCATGAGCGCCACCCTGGCGATATAAATATTATATTATTGTTATTGGTATTTATTTACCTGCTATGAAAAACAAAAAATACTAGAGTATAAAGCACTACATCTGAGTCATCTGAGGACAGTACAGTATGCGATTTGCATATTTTTGTACATGCCAACTCACGTTCTCATGACAATTCCTTCCGCAAGCAGAAAAGTAAAGGACGCAACGACCGCAATGGACCATAGGTTAGTTTGAATGTTTGCTGCTCACACTTGTGAAAGCAGGATGCAAACTCGTGTGGCAAGGCGGGACCAAGATTAAAAAAGGTTTGTCACAAAATAAGAGACACCCCAACCAGCTGCTGTTCTACTTTGACAGGGAAGCTCTGGGGCATTCCTTTGATTAACTTATTGAGACAATCTCACTCATAGGAGAAAAAATCAAGGATGAAAGTCAGAACGATAACACTCAACGGTTTCATCCAGAAACTCTAGATCTTTCATACCCTTACTGTTACCACCAAAATACACGTCCTGGGCAACGTCCACCCTCCTACCCTCCGCGGCCCTCTGTCCACCACGCCTCCACAACCTTTTGCCACCACGCCGCAGCCAAAGCTTGGGTGGCTTGAACTCCTTGACTGAAAACAATGTGGCACCACAACTTTGCACCATCACAACTGCCGTGCCTCAACGACGAAGAGACCATTTTGAGGTCTTCAAGGAAGTTGAGGTCCCATGTGATGCCCACAGGTGAAGCACATCAAACCGCTGCTGCCAGCGGTTCGGACGATTCGCTGTGACAGACGGTGCAGTTGTTTTCGGGAGAATCTCATCTTTGGAACAACTATCCTGGAATTCTGAAGGACCGACTGCAATCTTTGTGAACACAATATGGACACATCTCCAACTGATGAAAAGCCATGAAAAACCATCGTGTTAACCACCTCAGCTTCATCCGCAGGTTCCTGTGACCGTTGGTCGTCAAACCGACCAAAACCACTGCCGCTGCGACGTCATGCGATCCATGCGACTCGATGTGCGGTTCTCCTTGGCAAAGGCAGTGGTGCCGCCAGCGACCAAAAGCAGAGCGCCTGGCAGATCGACAGGTCAGCGAGCTTCTTCTGGGTGAAACACCATCAGTTGGAAATGTTCCGTACTTTCCCACAAGCCTCTGGCTTTCACACCTGTCCCTCTTTTCAAGCTATATCCATGCACGTGCAGGCCAAGGCTCAAACAGCCACGGAGCGCTGCGTGTAGAAGGGCGACATGTGGAACAAGTCCAGGAGAATTTCAATAACGATCAGGACGATCACGATCCATTCCTCATCCAACTGGCTGCGCGCTGCCGGCTCCGCAAAGGTTTGGAACGAACCAAACCTCTGAAAGGAGATTGAGGATGCCTGAATTGTTTTTGGCAAAAGCCATCCTGAAAACACGATGTCGCACATACCCAGTGGGCCAAACGATTTTGGAAGATTTGGGCAGGTGTTACAGTGAGGGGGATGACATGAGGACGATGGCACTCGGACCTGCCAGCTGCTAAGCCAAGTCAACCATGGCTTTGAACTATTTTTAAATATACAGTATACAGTATACATATAATAACAATACCAAGATAAATCTGCTAAATGAAGATTCTGCACTGAAGAGAGGGCAACATCAGCCAGTAGGTCAACTCTTCTCTACTCTTGCACTTTCACGGAGCACTGTCAAGTGTGGAACAAAAGCGACAAACCCCACAGGTCGGCCCCCGGCGGATTTAGACTAAGCGACAAGCTTGTTGGAGTGCTTCACCTCCAATTGTGTTTGCAAAAAACTGTAGAGGTCGTTGAGCACTGCCAAGCGTTGGTCCAGAATCTCCACCTGGCGGTGGAACACGACTGCCGATTACGCACCGCTCCGCTGCTTAAGATCAACCAACCATAATCAAGCAACCCAGACAAAAGCCACGTGGGGAAGTTGCTGCTTGCGGTCACCACAGAATGCACAGAAAAACCGGGTGTGCTTTGCAAACAGCCAGCCCATAATTCAAATGTCCTCCAGCTGGCTGCACTGCTCGGTGTCTTGTGAGTGCGAAGAAGCTTTGTGGGTTATCTGTGAGCTACTGTTGGACAAGAATTGTCAATGCTTCCTCTACCAGACTCCAGAAACAGAATTCTTTGGCGCTTCCATTCTTAAGCCACTGCCCAATGGATATGGTCTTCCCTTTGTGTGCGTGGGTTGCATTAGTTTCTGGCAATACCCAACAGGCTTAATTATACCACATATTCAACCCTTTCAGCGTCCTATTCAAGGCATGGTCACAGGCCCTTTTGAGGAACACAAGGCAATCAAAAGGTTTGCACTCCCAAGTATATACAGTAGTTGCTCTTGAAAGGATTGGCTCGCGTCGCGATTGCGTTCCTGGCAGATTGCCCAGAACGACCGCACCCTCTTGCCAACTTCCAAGTATTTCCGGCAGGCTTCGTACTGCCTAGGGGCCGGGCACACTCTTGGACACTTGGATACGCTCAGAGCCAGGTATCCCAAATGACATCATCAAGTTCAATACAAGCTTTCTTAGTTCTACTTTGAGTAGATCCAAGCCTCAAGGGCCCAATGTGCTTCAGATTGGCCAAAGTTAAAGGGCCTACTTTTGATAAAAGGCTTTGTGACTGTGTGTACGTATAGGTATAGGTATAGAGAGAGAGAGAGACAGAGAGAGAGAGAGAGAGAGAGCGAGTGACCTCAAGTGATCCAGTAAGCAAAGATTGAATTCATGTTTCAAGGTTTGTTTGCTTGACTGATCTTGAAAAAATAGAAAAACAGGTCAGCCGGATCCCATCTGGCATCTACGAGATCGTCACCAGTTCAGCCCAGATGCGCATCAAAGCGGTCATGTTCCCACAAGATCTCAGGCGTTCCCAGCATGTCAGTCTGCAGTGTCAAGGAGCATTTGGTCACGAAAATCTCGCCCATTTGCCTCAAGTGATCCATTTTTGCCTACAAGAAGCAACATGGAACATGGGTTGTTGATGAATATGTCTTTCAGAGGCTCTCTTCACATTCTATGTTAGCTCTTGTGGTGCCGGGAGGCTTGGGATTAGGTGTTGGAAGGATGGAAGTCCTATATGTTTCAGCATGGTTCCCTGAAAGTGCTTTCGGAGGTATGATAAGCGCAAATGTTGCGCAAATATAAGGATCAAAAGAGCAAAATCTAGGAAACCTGATCAAGCTTCAAGCTTGCTTCTTGAAGAGCTCATGAGCCAGGCATCAAATAGAAAGAACATGATCTGCGGGTTTCTTTTTCTGAGTATCAAACTGAGAATTGGGCCATCCCCCCAGCATGTCTGGTGCGTGTCCTTTCTTACACCATCACACCCGCTAAATCTTTCAGTCAGTGTCGGTGAAACTTGTGGTGCTAAAACGGGATCTTCTCCAAAACCTCGCTGTTTGCTTCCTTTTTGCTTAACAAACTGTGCAACCAGGCACAGATACAACTTAGCAAACTGGTCAGCATTGTAGATTCAGCTCCCCACCAGCTACGGGCTACAGGTTCGAAGAAAAAGAATACCCACCTTCGTCGATACGTCTCAAAGAAGTCCCTGCAAAATCCCCCACAACGCTGCATGATCTTGGATGATCTTGGCAAAGAGCATTTTCACAAGCTTCTCGTCCATGTCAAAGGTCCCATACTGTGCCAATGCCTCAGGGATCGGCTTGGCCTCGGTTCCCACGCACCACGCGCTGTTTCTTTTCCTGGCCTCCAACCTACTAGCGACGGCCTCCCTAAGAAAACAATGTTCTAAAGAAACGATGGCATCATTTCCCTTTTTACCTGAAGTAATAGCAATATACAGCAATGGCCCACCCTAGTGGCGGCACTCCTGAATATGCATGTGGCGTGCCCAACAACTGCACATCCAAGCTCTGCAAATATCCCCGTGTATTGCCCCCCATGTGCCAACCATCGGTTCGGTTCATGTTCTCTCTCCGGCCTTCTCGATGCTGGCGTCCACGATGGTTTCGAAGACCGCCAGCTTCACGCTTTGAGCAAAGGCATAGCCTTTTTCGTCTTCAGCGTGTCAGTCAGAATTGGCGGCTCATGACGGAAGGGTCAGTCAGTCGGAACGGTTGTGGATACGGTGTTGTTCTGAATCCCCTGCAAACCAACATCTCCTTTTGTGTGACAAAAAAGGTGATTCCATCTGACACTGAGACGACTCTGAGACTCGTGCTATACGCTAAGGCCTCATCACCCGAGGAAGTCATCAGCACGATGTGATCCCCACCTGAAGGCTTGGAGGGGCTGAGGAATCAGAGGTAAATTAAAGAAGATCCTTGCCATGGCAGCTCATGTAGGAAGAAGCTTCTGTGAAGAATGGGGGCCGAAGAGCAGCATGATGTGGTTTTGTGCAAGGATGTACGGGATCTACACAAGCACCCACAAAGGCAGGTGACTGGTGTGCGGAAGGTAGAGTAGTAGCTTGATGCAGGCACCCTGCCCTTCAACATCGCGAAGGAATTAATCCATACTCACACGGCGCCCGTTCTCTCTCAGCACCAATCTTTGCTCGCCAAAGTGCTCAACTTTGGGGCAGGAGCCACAGGCGTGCCATCCTCCAATTCCTGAGTTCTTGGAATACAACTGATCCTTGAAGTTGTTGCACGGGCCCTGCTGGTTGGGATTTGGACGCGCTGCTTGCTCGTGAGATCTAGACATCAATCAAACATGATCAAACCTCAGGTCCATGAAGACTGAGTCAGAAGAGCTCATCTTCCAGATTCATACGGGCTGCCAGAACTAAGGTCAGTTCGGCAGCACCCAAGAAAGGGTGCTTGACGTGGAAGGAGTTCATCTTTGCATCTGAGCATCATTTTGAGAGTCTTCCATTGAAAAGGTCATGCTGTCATTCTCGATCTCCTCGGGTGGCAGCGAGTCTCCTTGGCGTGTAGCGAAGCCGTGCAGCTGCAGTCTGCAACTCGGAATGGGCCTTCGCTTCACCAAGAATGTGTCAAAGTTTGCAAAGTCTAAAAGTCATTCCAAAAACCTAGAGTCCAACCAGTAACCAGAAGAAGTTTTGAACAGCCTATATAACCATTTCTGCCCTTGGCACCCTCACTTCCCCGCTCCCACGGCTCCCACGTGTCAGCCCAGCATCCCACGGACTTCCGGATCAGCCGCCGGAGCCTTCGCAGCTCGACCGAGGTGAAGCCCCAGCAGACCAAGGAGCCAAAGGCGAAGCAGAAGCACAATCGCCCGTCCTGAAGAAGAACAAACCCAGGGGCGGTTAGCCACCAGAGGTAGTAGCTAGTGGCTGGGTCCCCTATGACCCGCTGGGGGTTTGATCGGAATCGGACGCAGGAAGCTGCATCGATCACAGCAAGACTTTTGCGTTTCCTGAGCAAGTTGGTCGTAAACCATCGAATTCGGGTGTTTTCTGTTAGGATTCATGGTGGAGCATCGGGATCCAGGGTAGCTAGTAGCTAACAAGTATATAGCTACTACCTTTCACGCAGGATAGCTCACCCTTCTTCAAGGAAGCTCCCCCTGCCGCCCTAAAGGCGGCGGGGGGGAGCTTCAAAGAAGCGCTCGCACTATTCATGCGGTTCCTAG